TTCAGCTCGGCATAATTTATTTAACAAAAATATTTGGGAAAGTGAATCAGATGATCCAAAAGCGCATGAAAATAAGTAAGTGTATAATATAAATTTGTATATATTTTACGGTACACTAAAGTGAGAAAAGGTTTCTAATAGAGGGCAAGAGAAGGAGGAGCAGTCAAAATAATCTCTATTTATATTTTTCTCATATATGGGTCACTTAGCCATCAATCATATTATTTATTTGTTTATTCCCTCCCCCAATTCAGAATCATGAAACAAAGCAAAATGCTCATTCATGATTGAGCTACATTTCATCTTGGAGTTAGGAATTTGAACAGTTACCTATACGGCCCAAATTTGGACAAATTGCAGCTCGTAACAAAACAAATTTCCGAGTCTAGTGATATTCAAAGTTTTCTAGAAAGTAGAAAGTAATTAATAGTAAATGAATGCTGTTACATAATGTATTTTAGTATTGTGATTTATGGCAGAAGCTCTCACAACTATATATATTTAATTATTCTTATTATTTTTCCAGCATCTTACTTTTTTCTCAAATCTACAAGTCAGGCTGTATTATTTCTAACTTTTGCATAGCCAAATAGCTAAGTGGAAGTCAATTGTGGGCTGTGATAGTTAAAAAAAGAATATTCAGGAGAATAAGGAACCATAGCTATTAAATGAAGTAAATTCCTGTTTAACATTTAGTGTAGTGGCTATGTTGCCCAGAAAATTTAAGGGCATTTTATTTGTCAAAGTGTTTTGTAGATCTCCTCGCATCACCACCAGACCCACACTTTTTTTCAGACTGAGACTTGCAAGGTCTGCTTGCCTCCTTCCATGTTTCTTTATGACAAGGCTGAAGCTGGGAATATTTTTTGTTGTTTTCAATTGGCGACTGGTTGAGAATTCATGAATAAAATGTAATAAATCCTATCTGAAACACAGACACTTCACCCTACAATAAAACTGCTAGATCTTTGAGTTCCCAAGTGATATCCCTACTATAGTGATGCATATAGCTAGATACCTACTATACATAACACACATTCAGTATGTCATAGGTTTATAGAGAACATATACATCAGACACACAATCACCCAAAAACATGGGGATTATTTACAAAACGGTGACAGTGAAATTACAAAATGTTAGCTATTACAACCAAGTTGGATGAAATAGTAGATTAATCTATTTTCCTTCTTGACTTTTTTGCCTAAGTTTTGCTTTCTAAAGCTCAATATTCATTATAAGACATACATCCTAACATTGGGAGGTATAAAATCTGGACTGGTAGGTAGGCCTTCAGGTGGCATCACCAGTGTTTCAACTTGGTCACTGATGATGCCCATAGTTGGTGGGTCTGCCAAGGTAGGGGTTTGTCAGGCTTCCGCCACGCAAACCAGGCTGAATGGCAGCCTCCTGGCTGGCCCCAACATACAAGACTAAGAGAGTGCTTTTGAAGTGTTCTCTGCATGGATCTAGTTCTTGCTACACAGCATGCGTGCATCTAATGATGAATTCAAGCTGTTCTCCCTGGATGTGGGACACCATGAAACTAAATAAGGATAGTTGACAGGACCCCAAAAGAGGGACTGTTCTGCCAAATGGACAGTTGGAGCCGTGGTGAACTTCAAACATGACCATTATTTTCCAAGCTTGTCTTTCCATTGTAGATGCTTTCATAATGCATCTTCCATATTTGCATACACTAAATATTATACATTAAATGCGTGCACTTTAACCTCCATGCTTATTTACATTCATCTTTTTATACATGCATATATAGTCTAATAGTCTAATAGTTTAAATATCGGCATACATGCGTACATGCATAGGATATCCTCCATGCTTACATACACTCTCTATGTTCTTGTTGTAATACCTATTGTCGTGTTGCTGGGGCTAAGGCATACTTAGGTTATTGGCACCTGGGGAAAACTATTTGTTGTCACCCTCCACCAAATTGTCTCTTAGAGCCCCCTTGTGCCCCAAACCTCTCTACTGTGTCTCCTATCTCCCCTCTTGAGTCCCTCTCCCCATTTGTCACTTATCCCTCTCATGCATCTTATGCTCTTCTTGTGGCTGTTATCAGGGCCACACTGGGAATACAAATGAGTCACAAGCTCACTACAGACAAGCTCCTGACACACACAAGCTCACTACAGACAAGCTCACTGACACACACAACCTCACTACAGACAACATCACTGACACCCACAAGCTCACTACAGACAAGCTTACTAACACACAACCTCACTACAGACAATCTGACACCCACAAGCTCACTACAGACAACCTCACTGACATCCAGAAGCTCACTACAGACAAGCTCACTGACATCCACAAGCTCACTACGGACAAGAACACTGACATCCACAAGCTCACCACAAATAAGCTCAGTGACACATACACACAAGCTCACCACAAATAAACTCAGTGACACATACACACAAGCTCACTACAGACAAGCTTACTGACACACACAAGCTCACTTACACCCACAAGCTCACTACAGGCAAGCACCCTGACAAACACACAGACATACACACAAACTCACTGACACCCATAAGCTCACTACAGACAAGCTAAATGACACCCACAAGCTTGCTACAGACAAGCTCACTGACACCGACAAGCTCGCTACAGACAAGCTCACTGACACACACACACGAGCTCACTGACACCCATAAGCTCACTACAGACGAGCTAAATGACACCAAAAAGCTCACTACAGTCAAGCTCACTGACACCCACAAGCTCACTGACAGACACACACACACACACACACACATGTACCTGTCTGTCACTGGCAGTGGAGACTCTCAGGGCAGTGAGGTTTCACCATGCAAGAGATTTTCTCATTCTGTATAAAAGGTCAGGAAGGGGATCTCCAGTGCTGGGGTTGGCTCCTGTGGTCATGCAAAGCTGGAACCTGCAAAAGGGGATTTGTGAGAGAGACTGTCACTCCTTCCTGCTGCTAACCAGCTACAGACTGTGCTGGTGTATGAGCTACTAGCAACCACAATTCAGTCTCTTAGTTATGTGCAAGAGCCACCTACACATGCAAAAAATACATTTTATAGAGGTTTCCTGTAATGTGCTGCACTGCCCGGCCCTAGATGTCGCGGCCCACCAGGAAATTTCCTGGTATCCCTGTGTGCCGGACCGGCCCTGCCTCTTATGACCCCAGTGTGTCTCTTACCCCCATTATATCTCCCTTTCATCATTTATGCACCCTTGTGTCTCACACTCCCCCTTGTGTCTCTCATCTGTTTGGCCTCCTACCCTTTCTTGAGTCTCCTATCACCCTCCATGTCTCATACCCCCTATAGTGTTTCCTATCTCCCCTTTTGGCTTTAATTCCCCCCTTGAATCTCTTCTACCCCGATTATTGTGTCTCTAACCTGCCATGTAGTGTATCCTTCTCCCCCTTGTGTCTTCAACTCCCAATTCTTGTGTATCTTACACTTCATAGAGAGTTTCCTTCTCAATGTGTTTTTTACCCCCACCCCCTTATTGTGTCTCTTTTTTTTCTTAATGTGGCTTCATTGGCTGCAGTAGAGGAGCTGCATTTTCCTCTAACTGAACTGAGAAAGCACATCTTGGCATGCTGTGAGCATCATATCCCTGCCCCAGCGTGCCGAGATCTGCTTTCTCTGGGTAGAGGAGAAGAAAGCTACTCCGTGGACCGCAAGGCTGTGCTGCACAGAATGACAGACAGGATGGGGGTGCTCTGTGCAACCCCTTCAGCCTGTCACCACCCACTTACCATGCTAATGCCCTGGGTATTCCCCCCGTTATACCGATGGGGTGTGTGGACCTGATGGAGTCTCCCTGCAAGCCCCCTTCAGCTTGAACCAAGGCAAAAAAATAAAAAATAAGCATGTTCAAAGACAACATTATTCATAGTAAAAAGACCTGAGGAGATTAGCTATTGGGATGTATTTAGTTTTAATTTCCTGTCCTTTACAGCCAAGCGGGTGGAGCTTATCCTATGGCGATGCTACCATGGATTACACAGGAATATATACTTTTGTGTGGCAGTTTTGTTTTCTGTGATGGCTATGAAACTACCATACTCTAAAAACATTCCATGTTGAAATTGTATTTTATTACTTGTAGTTTGTGACTTGTAACTTCCAAAAACTGAACAACTGAAGTGCTTTATCCGGAGTGTTCCTTTATATAGGAATATAAAGCTCAGCTACTGTATTTCTCTCAGTGGAACTGGAAAATGTGAGAGACCCCCAGAAAATTATATTATTTTATTAATTATATATTGGGGGACCTGCCTGACAACCCAAGCAGAAAGTCCAGCGAATTTAATTTGCAAGCCCTGTATCTGACCTGTAATTTTTCAAAAAACAATAAAATCTGTACATGGGTGTACTGTTGTACTCGAGCAACATCGCTGAACACAAATATGAGTGTTTTAGAGCAGTAAAAAGTCTAATGACGATAATATCATCAGTGAAAGGGCAGCATTTGTGTGAAAAATGCTAAAAAATAAACTTTATATATATGAAAACTTACTATAGCTATGGTTTGTGACTAAGTAGCTACCTTAAAAGACTGGACATGTCCCATTTTGAATACCCTAGATCAGGGATAGGCAACCTTCGGCACTCCAGATGTTGTGGACTAAATTCCCCATAATGCTCTTACACCCATATTGCTGGCAAAGCATCATGGGAGGTGTAGTCCAAAACATCTGGAGTGCCGAAGGTTGCCTATGCCTGTCCTAGATTCTCTACTTTTGAAAATAATATGCCATGATGGGGGTAATTTTCATTCCTGGGTTGCTATACGGTTTCAAAGAAAACATAACCAATCTGGCAAAATTCATTGTGTAAAAACTGAAATGGACAAGCTCTTTATTTGACCCTGTAACTTTGTAACATGTTGTACTTGTAGGACATCTCAGCATACAAATGTGTATTTTATTGCAGTAAAAGCTAACAGTATTATGACATTTACATTTAAAATGTGATGCAAAACTTGGAATATCATTTTTTTTTTAATTCTTTATTTTTGTTGTGCATAATATAACAAAATGCACTGCCACAAAGCAGGAGCAAGCACAATAAGATCAACAGAGCAAGACATAAGCATGGCATTAAAATACCAGCACTTTTTTTATTTTTTAAAGAAACATCAAAATTTAGGCTAGTATACTGCACAACTGTAGAAAAAGGGATGCTATACTGTATAATGTAGTCACAATGTATTAGTACATAAGCTATACTGCACTGTCAAGTGAGTTATCACAGCTAGTTAACGGTATATAAGAAAGGTGCAACATAAACAATGACCTCTCAGTTATGCATTGCTAAACAACATGAGGGAATCCACCAGGAGACATCTAGAATATATGCCAGTGGTAAATGGCAGGCCACTGTGAGACTACAAAATTATGCTGTGTTAGCGAAGTGATAAAAACAAAAAGGTAGGCATCTGATAGCAAACGGTAAAAGAAAACTAACACTCTAGCATAGAACCACTGCCAGGTACATGCTTAATGGTAAATAATGTCAACCGTTCATCCAATGCCGCAAGCATGCCTCAACTGGGAACCGGTACTGCAGTTTTCCATGAGGTGCCCGGTGTCACTGCTCCAGTATCCTCTTGGATTTAAGAGACCTGTCAGACCACGGAGATTTATAAAGCATTGTTCCAGCCCCTCTGCTTCCCATGCCAGCCCAACTGACGAGCCGATGCCTGGTAGCAGCTGGACCCTCCAGCTCCTGTGGCATAGTTGGCTTCTCAATTGTTCTCCATTTTGCATGTAGATTCCCCAGGGTGTGGACGGCTGACGGGCGTTGTGTCTATGGTGGCTCTCAGCCCAGAAAGTTAGCATTGCGCCGGGACACTGGCAGGGGCCTTCTCTGCTAAAGGTACGGTGAGTAACAGTGCTTCCCAACGGGACTCCAATCAACTCCAGAAAGCTACACAAACCGCATCAAGTGTTGCTTGGAATCTGACTACCCATTTGCCAGTGGGGAGATTCGTCGTTGTGGTGGCCATTTTAACTGCGCCACACGGTTTTGCAGAATTAGTCACAGTGGTTGGGAACCAGGATAACCCCAACCGATCCAGAGGGGGGGCAAGCGAAGCAGGCAATTCACGCTTTGTATTCGCCAGCAGGTCTAGACTGGGAGATCGGCCGTTTCTCCTTTCTAGGGACCACTTCAGACGGTATAGTTTTGAAGCGTAAATATCTGGAAGTGAGGCTCCAAACAGGCACATCAAAGTTCCATTGCATACAGGAATAGGTTAGAAAGTGTTTAGGAGTTGTTTGAAAAGTTAATCCCATTTCAAAAGTTGATTTTGCAGGTTTTTTGTGAAGAGCTTACAATCAACATGTCCGGCTGCCATGCTGGTCAGGCCCCCCCCCCAGCATTAATCTTTTTTATAACACATTTATTTTAGATTTTATGAATATTAAATTACGTTTCATATATAAATATTTGATGTGAAATGAAATTAAAAGCCTTTTTCTCCTTAAAGGGACACTATAGTTACTAGAACAACTACAACTTACTGTATTTGTGAGTATAATCATTTCCTTCAGGCTTTTTGCAGTTTACACTGTCTTTACAGTCTAGTGATAACTGCACTGGCACCTCCTCAGATGGCTACCAGAGGTGGTTCATGGGGCAGTGTCTCCACCCTCCGCATGCAGACAGTGAACTTTCCTGATAGAGATGAATTGATTCAATGTATTTCTATGAGGAGATGCTGATTGCCAGGCGTGTGTTTGACTTGTGCTGGCTCTCCCTCTGATCTGCCTCCTTGACAGTCTCAGACAATCCTATGGGAAAGCATTGTGATTGGCTCACAGAATCACTTCTGATGATGTCAGCTGTAAGCAGGCAGTTCAGGGGCAGAGGCAGAAGCTGCAGACTTTAATACAAGTAAGATTTTACTATATTTAGGGAGGCAGGGGGTGCTGGATGGTGGTTTTAACACTACAATGCCAGGTATACATATTTGTGTTCCTGACCCTATGGTGTTCCTTTAACTAAACGATACATAATAAGTGTAGGTGCACTTAAAATAAAAGAGGTAAATTATGGTTGAGAGAGACATAGCTTGAATTCTAGATTTTGTTTTAGTTCAGAACTTGGACAATTGTCTTCGTCCTTAAGGTGTTATTACCACAAATTTTAAGGATTAAAAATGGTGAACAAATGGCACCACAATAAAGCTCAAATATATCGTGTTTGAGTCCTCATGTTGCCAGCATTTACAAACGGTATTCATTTATGGCGTAATTTAAATATGTGGGCTACTAAATTGCCACAAATGCACCACAGACATTTTTAAATTGCAATTATAAGAAAAAAAGAACTGTACTGGGCAGATTATAAATTCAGCCTTGTATTTTCACAAAAACTTGATATGGATTTGCAGGAAGTCGATATAGCTGAGAACAATTTTGTGATATTTATTATAATAGCATGTTTACAAAATAAACCACTAAATCGCAATGAGCATGTAAAACAAAACAAAAATGAAATTAATACCATACACTTTGATAAAAATTGGTTGTAAAAAGTTTTCGCATTAAAACATTTGGTTTTAGGGGTAAATATAGCTAAGCACAACTTTTATTCAGTAGCACATATAAAGTTTACAAAATAAACTTGAAATGGAAATCAATCAATAAATTGATTATCTTGTGTATCTGCCCCTGGCCAAATTGAAGAAGTGCGTGCACGCTCCTGAAGTAATTTCACACCGGACACAAGTTTCTGGTTAATGAAAAACTTAGGAATGTTTATTCAGAGGGGACGGCAAGTCCCTTTTAAAGCAGAATTACATCATAGAGATAACATGGAATAATACATCATTAATTGGTTAGGTGTTAAGTGGTTCTTCTAATATTCTGCCTACAAGGGTTGATGTCACTGGTATTATGAGGGTCTCCCCCAGATTCCAGCGCCATCTTGTTACACAAGGTAGTTAGTCGATGTTAGAGGGGAAACTCCCCAGCGGCCATTTTAGTTAATCACATGAATAATGCTGATTGTGACTATACTGAGTAAATAGGCATTTTACTAATATAAACTAAATTAATATTTCTGTCCACAACAGTCCCCCCTTAAAATGGCTATTTATGAAGGAAAACAACCTACCACCAACTGTCCCTAATAATGTCCCTAATTTGGCTGCAGCTCATCTGTCTTAACAGGCCTCGAACACTTCACTGCGCAGGTATCCCGCAGCGGCTACTCCGCTACATCTCCTGCGTCAGACTCTTGCCCGTAGAGACAGACGCTATCCCTAAACTATCCCTACAAGATGGTGGCAGTGGCTGTCTGTTTAATCTGATGGGACTGAAGTGGCGTCTGTGGAGTATCAATATCGATGTCATCGGCATCCTGGTGTATGTATATGGGAGTTGTACGGTCAATTGTATGGTCTACAGTCTTTTGTAGATACTTCTGTGCACATGGAACCACACAGCAAGTTAAGAAAAGGAAGAAGATCATTACTGTAAGAACTGCCATTCCTATTTGGAAAAGAGTCCTTTGCCAACCACTCATCCATCCAAACCATTTGTCCCAGGAGTTAGGAACCCCTATGTTTCTTTTTAATTCATCAGAGAGACTCTCTAATCTTTCTATAGCCATTGTCACCTTACCATTAGGACCAGTATTGTCTGGGATGTAAGTACAACACGTCATTGTCTCAGGGAGAATCTTACACACACCCCTCTTTTCTGCTAAGATCATGTCTAGGGCTATCCTGTTCTGGAATGTCATGTGAGAGGTTGCCTGCAACTGCTCGGCTAAGCCTTGTAAGGCATCTCGGGTGTAATTAACAAAGCGTTGTTGATTGTAGTAGATATAATTGATCCAATTGACGTTTTTATTGGCAGTAATAAGTGGAATTAAGGATTCAAACCCTGCGGCCACCTCATCTCTGGCCTTAAACTCAATTGGTACCCCTCTAGGTACCCCTATGGCATCTATATACACGTGTGGGTCAAAACTCCCCCGTATTGGACTGTCTCTTTTTACTCTAAAGTGGGTATTCGAAGAATCATATAAGCCATGATGATTGTCAGGGAAGATATGGATAGGCATAATTACTTTGGTTAGAGTACATTCTCCAACCCACAAACCAAACATCCTAGTTCTAAGTTGCATGTCACCGCATAGCCAATAAATGTTTCCTACGGACTTAATCTGGTTTACTAGTAATGTCATAGGGGGATTACGATAGGTTGCACAATAACCTGGGGGGAATTTACCTACAGTTATACCCGTGGTTTCATGTATCGTATTGCAAGTGTAATTACCTGGATATACAGTAACCCCGTCCGGTGGTTTAGTGTTTCCTTGAGTGATTGGGTAAGTCTTCTTCCAGGACTTTACAGTTGTCTGTGCGTAAAGACTTAAGAAACATGTTTCAACATCTATTGGTAAATTAGCAATTTGTTTTATTATGGGAGTTAGCATTATTTCTCATCCATTCAAGCCATAGATTAGTATCTGAAAAACCTGTTTCCACAGCCATGGAATCCTCAAATGTATGACTGGCAATAGCCACCATGTCTTTGAGCGTCTTGATGTGTGGTTTCAGTGGATTTATCGTCATGTGTGTCGATCCTACCCAGTCTGGTGAGTTGAGCATGTCTTGCAGGTAGAATGTCCCCAATTTATTGTACGAGCCACCCCCTTTCCAATACATTCCCATTACATACTCTCCAGCGTCACCTGGACTTGGATGTTCTATGTTTAAAGTCAACTTTATCGGGGTGGATCCTGTTGTTTTGCATAATGTCATTCGGTATAATAGAGTTTTCCATGTCTATCAACCCGATCTAGGGCGGTCTGTGGTTTGTAGCCCCATGGTCTACGATGATGTCCCCACTGCCCGCCTGTCACACAAATGTAGGGGTCGTTTTTATTTGGTATGTCTTAGTATATAGTTGAATGTAGTGAGTGTGGAAATGTACAAGCAACAATATCACAGTAATCAAAGGTGTACGTAGCCACATGTGTGTTAGAAGAGTTATACCAAAATGTATAGGCATGGTTATCTTTGGTTATAGCAACTTGTTGGGCCTCCAAGAGGCCTAGCAGCAAATACAAATACAAAAGACTCATGTTGGTGCAGGATCCGCTTCCTCTGGGGCAGGAACCTTTTTACAATGCGAGGCGTTTATCCAAGTGTTTTTCCCCGCCAACTTTACAGAAGTTGCTGTAGTCAATAATACTTGGTATGGACCATCGAATCTTGGCTCAAGAGTGTGTTTTCTTAAAAATTTCTTGACCATAACCCAATCACCGGGAAGTAATTTGTGTGTGCCTGTGTTGGATTCTGGATCTGGAATAGAAGAAAACACCTCTGCATGGATTTTGGTTAAGGCATGAGAACGTGCAGTTATATAGTCTATCATTGCGTCTGACTGAAGTTGTAGCTGCTGCGGGAAATAACAACCTAACCTGGGAGCTGTCCCGAACAGAATCTCATAGGGGGATAGATTAAATTTTCCTCTTGGGGTATACCTTACACTGAAAAGTGCTATGGGAAGACTCTCCGGCCAAGGCAAGTTAGTTTCTTGTGACATTTTTAGCATCCTGGCTTTTAGAGTGCCAGGATGTGTGAAAGGCAAGGGTCACCCCCAGTGCTGCCCAGATTTCTTTAGTCAATAATGCAGTAAAAGACGTTCCTTGGTCACTTTCTATTACTTCAGGAACTCCGTATCTGCAGATGATTTCAGTAAGTAGATGTTTAGCTGTAGTTTTTGCGGTAAGGTTAGAGACTGGGAAAGCTTCTGGCCATCCTGAAAACATATCCACTATGACAAGCGCATATTCGTAACGGCCGCTGTTCGGCATTTGAATATGATCAATTTGGATTCTTTGAAAAGGGTATTGTGGTTTTGCCAAATGATTTGGTGCAGTTTTGATTATTTTCCCTGTGTTGCATTTAGCACAGATCATGCATGACTGGCAATAGTTCCGAGTGAGGGTAGTAATCCAAGGTGCCTCGAAATACTTATCAATCAAGGACTTCATAAGTTGTTTGGATAGATGCGCTGGTCCATGAGCCCATTGGACAACAGCTGGATACATATTTCTGGGCAAGCAGTACTTGGATCTTATGGTGTATATGTCATTCTGGATAATTGCTCCTCTGTCCTTCCAACTCTGTTTTTCTTGCGAGGTAGCAGCATCTTGTTGCTCTCTCAGGAATTTGAGGTCGGTGGGTAAGGTTTGTAGGTTACAAATGGGGGCTATTCCGTCGGCCACTCTTCTGTCCACTTCCCACTTTTGTCATGCTGCATCTTTAGCTGCTTGATCGGCCAAATGATTACCCCGTGCTTCTTCTGAATTCAATCTCCCATGAGCTTTGACTTTCAAAATAGCCAC